TTTACGGAAATGCAGCACCGCTAAACAGTACCAATTGAGAATAAAGGGTGTAAGTTACTAGAGAAACTGTGGTGCTGCGTCGGTGGGATAGTATAACAGGGTAATTTAGTATTATCAACTGAGTTGATAACGTAAATTGGCCACCGTAAAGGCTAGCTTTGAGGCTCTTTACGGTGTACAATTTACGGTATCAACTCAGTTAATAATACTAAAGGGACCAATTTAGAGATGAGAGTACTGAAATACGTATGAACACGTGTTGAAAGTGAACAGCGAGAGCATGATATAAGGTCGAGTCACCAGAGCTGATAAATATGTACTTCATTTGATGGGTTAGTATTTCTTGTTCTGCCTCTATGTCGTGGGCTCTCGCTGGTGCGGTGCAATGGATGGCGAAGCCAAAGCGTTCAAGTCTGCTCGCCATTCGAGCTCGCACGCTTGACAGCTCGAATCTCACGCGCTTCACCACTCATGACGCAGCGCTGAAGAGAGCCTGCGCGCAGGTCATAGCTATCTTTCAGGCGCCACCTATTTTTATAATCCCATTCATAATACCCTCGTCATAGGTGGACGCTATTGGCTATCGCGAAACAGTTATCCAGCAAGGCCTAAGGAAGTACTGGGACCGAATTAAGGAGCGACTGCATATAGACTGGGAAAAAACTTCATGGTCAGATTTGGAAAAGCCGCTGTACTCCGGATTGGCTGCTCGATTGTTTCTTGCCAGGATTCCTGCTCCTATTCCAGCTGACCTTACTGCTCAAGCTCAGTACTGGAAGAAATATTACAACACTTCAGCTGGGAAAGGAACCGTGCAGAAGTTTATTAACGATGTTAAACAAGCTACAGGGTGTGCTGCGTGAAAAATTCCAAATGAATCATCCTATCTGTAGCTTGCAAGAAACAGGATAACAATATATTAAAGAGAAAAAAATTATCATGTAAATTAATAGCTTTGAAATTGAAATTGTTTCTTTTTTTAAATAGTATTTTTTCTTAATTAAGTTTGGATTTAAGAATTCATTGGTTTGAAATTTAACTATTGCCTATCGCTTGCAAGGTTAGTTTTCTCAGGTCAGACACTTCTGTCCAGTGAGCATTGATCATGCTTCAATTAATTAAATCTCAATTTCCAGTCATTGACATTGCCTCATATTATTGGAGTCTTCCCCTCTCCCAACATATATGACAATCACTCATTTAGTTGAGCACTTCTTTTAAATATCCTCTCCAAAAGCTATGTTTATTTGTATATGCTAGAATGCCAGGGAAAGACCAGGAGCCAAAAGGAAGAGTACATTTATGTTTTTCACCCCTTTTGATGAGACCCCACTCCCAAGTAGTCTTGTGCAGATTTTGAAACATCTGAATATAGTGGAGGTTGAAATCGAAAAACCCACAAATAGCCATAGAAAATTCACATCAGGAATAAACTTGAAGATAGGAGGTCCAAAATGCAAGAGTGGGAAGCTGAAAAGGAGCTGAATTTTGTAGCAAATTGTATTTCTCAAAACATTGAAACCTGTGCTAAAAAAGGGTACCAACTGGACTCTCGGAAGTGTTCACTCCCTATAGAGTGTTACCAAATAATAGTTTACTGTCATTGTACAAGTAATCATCGGTTGATTAATAACTCAAATAGAACAAAGTGACTAGTCAACATTTCAAGTATGACCAATTCAGGTAGACAAAAAAATTGAACAAAATTATTTACAGGAATAAACATTTTAAAACTCAATAAAGCTCAAATTTCTGTTCAAGCCATCCACTTAAATTTGGTTTTGTGTAGAAAATAAAAATTAATTTTGGTGTCTGCCTTCATTCAAAGAAGGTTTCAACAAAGGAGAGATTTTATGCAACAGCCCTCAAGAGAAATGCAGGTAGTGATCTATAATCATCCTTGTTTAAAACTCATTGATCATCAACAAAAGTTCAGTGGTCAAACAACAGTTAACTGACAACCTGTAATTGGACCAACCAATTTTGTTTTTTTTTCCTCATATCATACATTTTTAATCTGTAAATATATTACATTGAGGACTTCAAAAGTTCAAGAATGAACGTTGCTATCTTGAAAGCAATCAGAGACTTTTTGGTCCTTACAAAAGTTCCCTAACTAATGAAAGAATACTCGGTAACATCTCAGTGTGAACTTTCCACACCATTGTGCTGTCTTAATTAAAAATGAACAGGTTGTTTTCATTTCATAATGAGAACTCAAAAAATCTTTCAGCATAAAAAAAATTGTAGAAAAAATTGATTAGCAGAACTAAAACTCTATGTGCTCTAGTCAAGGCTGACTCTTTCATGCTTCTGTATACCTTCCACTCATTGTCATTATCAGATCTTCCATAATGTTAAAACCCTGCAAACAAAACAAAACTGAGCTGGGTAAAATAACCAAATATTTTATACATATTAAGTTAATTAGAGGTGATAGGCAAGTGTGATTTCTTAATTTTCTTAAATTGATCTTTTTTACCTTGTTTGCTCCACGTTGAAGAAATGACTGTCCAAAAGATTCCATCATTCCTCCAATAAATGAGCCAACACCATAAACACTGATACTACCACGCTGCTCAAATGATGTCCTGCCAAGGGATATAATAAAACATGGTTGGAATTACACCAAAATTAATTATTTACCACCATACAAAAATACTCTTCTGATCAATAATTCTTCCATGATTCCTCCATGGTTTTTCAAGGATTCTTCAGGGATTCTTCAATGATTTTTCAACAATTCTTTAATGATTCTTCAATGATTTTTCCATGATTCTTCAATGATTTTTTAATGATTTTCAATTATTTTTCAATGATTCTTCAGTCTCAGAATCTACAAGTACATGGTTGGAGAGGAGGCAACTTAAGTTAAATGTGCTAGTCATATAAAAGTGTTGTCTCAATTTGTACAAACAGAATTTGTAAAATTTGTGAAATCAAGATTGAGAACAAACAAAATCAACATTTTTTGCCATTTATTTTGTTTAATGTATGCAAATGTATTTCTCTGACTGCATAAAGTAGCTTTAAAAGTGTATCACTAGTTTTGAGTAACCATCTCTCAAGTATCTTTCCAGACCTAAGGGAAAACAAGTGACAAAAAGGATGATAAAATGGTGATTTTGGCTGCACTATTGCATTCAGCTGAAAGCCCCATTTCATATACCTCTTGCATCATTATTTGCTTCTGAGTGTCCGAGAAATTTATTTGTGTACATGAAGTAGGTGACATACCAGTTTGGATTGTTTTCACATGCTTTAAAAGTGCTGAACTCTTCCAGGGACGCATATTTAGACCATGTAAGGCTATAACTATGAAGACGAAGACATCTCTCCTTACTATTGAGCCATGCCTCCTCTTCTACTTGAATTGCTGGGAATGGACATAGCTAGAAATAGAACATTTACAGTAACAACTTTAAGTTTTTCTGTGAGGTAATTTATTTTTATGGGCGCTTGAAATATTACTTACCATCTGTTGATTAAAGAAGTGCATAACAATGCTGCCATAAAAAACAGTCTGAAGTGTCTCTACATGTAATGGTAATAGGACTAAGTGGAGTTCACTTACAGTCTGTTATCATTTATTCCAAGTGATTAACAAAGTCAGATGACCACAAATTAAAAAAGTACAGTTGTAATAAAAGCACATGAGTAAGGTCAAAATGCTTTAGTTTTTTTTAACAGACATGCAAGAATGATAAAATGTTTAAAAGTATAGGTATCAACCAAACCTAGACTTGCAGTGAGATGGGAGTTCAGACCTTAGAACTCTGTTTGCAAGTAGTATGACATAATTATGTTAGGAAAAAAATAGTTTTGTGCATTGTAATCCAAGAACAATGATCAACGTAATGTGCATGTATATAGTTATAAGTTCATACCTTTTTAAAGAAACCAGGCAAAACATTCACACACTCTCCTCTCCTTAACATATATTCTTCTCCAGTTTCTGGGTCTTCAAGATCACAAAAACCAAACAAAACATAGACAACTTAATTACAGCAAAAAAAAATATATAGTGCAGAAATGAGAATGTGACTAAAGTTGGGGAAACTGCCATCTATGACCCTCCACGGGAATTTTCAGGGAATAAGGTGCATGCATGCACAAAGCAGACTCGCACGCTTAAAACAAAAGAACTAACTTTTACCATGTTAGCTGCTTGTTAGTTACTTGCCTCATCAACTTTGCAGCCATTATCTTGCTTTGCACGGTAGAAATAAAAGAAACGTGTTAAGATCTTGCTTGCAACTATGCACAATATAATTTTATAACACGTCTCTTAAAGTTAAAGTTGCTTTCCATTTGTACAAGAAGTATATCCTAAGTGGTACGGCTTTTTAGCTCACCAATACACCTAGCAGATTGTGTAGATCCTGAGGGAAAGAGCCATGATTTACTATAAATGTCTCCTTTTTTATTACAACTTTTGACTTGGACAGAAGATCTGCTTATATTCTGTACGTAATTATAAACACCATTCTCACAATTGAGAAGCTGACAAACACAAGTAACAAAGTAAAGTGGCTTACACAAGATAAGCTTGCCTGTTAAGGAAACAAAGGAACTTAGCGTGTTATAAAAAAAAAAAAAATCTTCCATGTTATTGAAACAAATCTCTACCATGTTAGCCAGATATGAACAATGGCTACAACACGCTTTCCAGAATCAATAGTTTTTATGCACATATCTGCACGGTAGGTAAGTCATGCCATTAGCATGCGAGCATGCTAAAACATGCCATGTGCATACATTCACCTTATTCCCTGACATCCTGTGGAGGGTCACATATTGTAAATAGTACTGTATTCTACAACTGTAAAGTACCATAAGTGGGTAAATTTATTAATTAGTCTATATGATATTATATAGAATATGACACATTCAATAATGGTACCAACAGAAGTTTATTAACAAAATGGAGTAAAATCAGTTTTGGCCATTTGTAATGGGCCAGTCACTCTAAAATGACTGAGGCAGTGTCTCTATCAGCATCTCTATCATTAGTAACACCACTGAATCAAATGAACTGCGGCAGTAATAATTTATTAAGAGGCCATTTCAATGTTTTTCCTGATACCATCTGATATAGAAAATGAGTAGCATACATATCGTTCAAAATAAACAGCCCTTGGAGACCTCAGAAAAGTGGAATACAGCAACATAGACTACGTACCTGTTTTGTGTTGCAGTACTGTTATGGAGGTCACATTGGAATCCTTACCACATGTGTACTGTTGTTGAGCATACATGTAAACACAAGTGTGCACAACAGTGAGAAAAAGAAAAAGAGGCAGTCACTATCAATTCCTTATTTTTATACAACTGTTAGAGATTCGTTACATTGCATGAGGTCTAGCATTGAAATGTGAACATAAATGAGGCGGTCAAAAGTACAGTAATCACAATTTGATTCACAACGTATGAGTAGTTGAGTACTTTAACCCTTTAGACATATTCTATATTATATTTACAAATTTGCATTCTTCTGCTTGGACAAAAATTTCTTAATTGTGCTCTGTACTTATTAACACACATGCATGTACTGTACTGACGTATTTTAACAAACCTTTTGAAAGTAGGCACTGATCACTTTCTCAAATGGATGTTTAAAGGTATGGTTAATTTCAACATGCCGGACCATTACCGCAGAAGATCGCTTCCGCCATGAAAAAGGAGGGACAAAAATTCGTGCGATAAAGCACTTACAAGCACGATTCTTTTCTTTGTCAATAAAGACTTTAATATATTAAAAGCCGTGTAATTGGTCCATTCTCCAGTATAAGCCAATCACAACAAAGCTTATTTCTGTTCCAACATGGCGGACGAAAATGATTGATACCCGTGTTTCAGCCTTAACGAAGACTATAATTCAAAAAGGAACTGGACTAGAAACACCGAATTATGGAACATCATGTAAAGGTGACGGTTTGAGTGACATTTTACGTTTTATTTGATTCATCTGCAATGTTTAATTGTATTTTTAAATATGCTTCATCGCAGTCAAACTGAAGATTTCTTCTCCGGATGGCACAATTCTTCATAATACCGAGAAGGAAGTCGTTATAGGCGAAGGTAAGTAATCTATGTATGAGTTTGATTACTTGGCATGTTCAAGTGTATTCCCAGGTCATGAATCGCCATTATCATTATTCAAAACACTACATTAAATTACAAGCGTTCGATTGATCCAGCATGTAATTTACGTTTTCTTGTTTGTTTATATTGCTACAAAAATTGTACCACTATGTCCTTTTCTTGATAATGCCATTGTTAATTCAGTGAAATACATAAAATGACAATTTCTCAGATTAAGTAACTTGTAGCTGACTGAAAAATGGGTCATGTCAATTAAATCATGCATTTATTGAATATATTCTATCTTTGTGTTTTTTTTTTGCTTACTTTGAAGGTGACAATGAGGTATCTGAGACCTTGGACAGATGCCTTGAGTGTATGCATGCTCAAGAAGTCTGTTCGATACCTTTTGATGATGACAATTTGTGCCAAGAGCTTGGTATTGTCTTTGAAAGGGATCTAAAATGTGAAATTGAACTTCTTTCCTTCTCCAAGGTACAGTTTACTGTAAATTTATACATGCATATACAGAAATTTCCTTAGTTATCATCTTATAGAGATACTGCTTTTGGAAAAAAATTCAGGTTTGTTCAGGAGTTGAACCTATGACCTCTACAAATTCTGGTGCAGTGCCTTAACAATTAAGCTTACAACTGAGCTCACAAGCGAACAAAACAAAACAAGCCTGAATTTTTCTGCTTTATTTTCACTATTACTTAAGAAGTGTTGTTAGTGCACGGTGATCACTCTCATTTTCATTTAAATAATCAGCAGTTCAAAGATATAATGTGTATTATTGGCAGTTGTTTATTCATTACTACTGACACAGATTTATTACAAACAAACAAAATGACCAACTCCCAGTAATTTTCACTACTGCTTATAGGTGTTCATTGCTGTGATGATGATCACTATAATCTTCACCATATTTCTTGTACAAAGGCACATGAAGTAGAATGAAATTTGAAAAAAAGTTTTCTGTGACTATCCCATGACCTAAAATTGTTAACAAAAGAAACAAGCTGAAGGGGTATACATAGTATATTCAAAAAAATTACTGACCAGAACTGATTTTTTTTATCCAGAACAATTGGTATCTTAATTATAGAAAAATCTCAACACATGCACTTCATATTCCTCCAATTTTTCCTTTTACTTTGGCAGGCAAAAGAGCCTTGGGAAACTACTCCAGAGGAGAAAATGTCTCTTGCCAAACACCATAAAGATAAAGGAACAGATTGTTTCAAGGTTGCTTTTCATTTCCCAGCTCATTTTGTAAATGTTGACACACCTCGTTTTTTGCAGTGCTCTCTTAGTTCATTCCCTGACTGCCGTGAAGTGTTGTTAAAGAGTAAATCACACTAAGCATATTCCAATCATTCAAATCTGTTCATATTTTAGTTATTCAAATCCAGGGACAGGTACATGTCCTAAATGTGTATGTCAAGTGTGGCTTCTGTATGTTGTTTGTCAGCTGCCTTAAGTCAAAGCTTCAGTTTGTCCAGTATGAACCATCCCAGTACTCATGCATGTGGACGTAGGTGAACCTAAGGGAGAATGCGGGGGGTGTGTAAACCCCTCTCCCTACTTAAATTACCAACCTTACAATTGAACAAATTCTTCTGTATCATCTGTCATGTAATATCCTTAGTTCACATTAATTTATGTTATTACATAGTCATAAGCCTTCTTTTGTGATGTTTGCT